GTGTGACAGGTGTGGGCGGAGTGAGCCACACGCTAGGGCCGCTGGACGGATCCCTGTACGCGACAGTCACCAAGAAGCGCCCGCAGCCGCCCGCGTCGCCGCACTCGCCGGTGTCGCCGCACGCGCCCTCCGCCACCCACACGCCCTCGCCGCACGGCCTGGTCAACGGTCGCTACGCCGCGTCCATAGACTCGGGCATCGCGTCCAGCAACTCGGCGGCGGCGGCTCCCGTGTCCCCGCCCACCTCGGACACTTCGCGGACGTCTGGAGAGTCCCGCGGCACGGCGGCGGCAGCGGTGACGGCGGGGAGGGTGGGTGCCGGGGTGGCGCCGCCCCCGGTAGATGCCCGCCAACTGGATGAGCTGCTCCAGGGCATGCTCCTGGACATCCAGAGCATCCCCGACCTCCGGCCCTCGCAGACGCCTGCCCCGGACATAGACTCCATCCGGTGCCCCGACTTCAGCATGGCGCCCAAGACGGAGTCTCGGCCGAGCATGACGGCGCGCTCCTCGGGCGACGCCAGCAGCGCCCCGCCGCCGCCACTTAGCCCCGTCAACGGCTTCAGCGGCTCGACCACGCACGACTCGCTGCTGGACTCGTCGCTCAGCACGACGGCGGACGAGATGCCCTACCACGCCCGCACCGACAGTAAACCCTTCAGCTACGGCGCCGTCACGTCGTCGCCGCTGCTGGGCAGACGTCGCACTGCGTCAGAGGGGGGCGAAGGGGGCCCGCAGCCACCACCCTCGCCCTCGATCCACCGACGCAATTCGCGGGAGACACTGGGGCAGGCGCGGGCGGGGCTGGAGTCGCCCAGGCTGGTGAGGCGCATGTCTGGCAGCGTCGGTGGCACGCCTGGAGACGCAGGAGGCGGGTCGCGGCGCTCCCCCTCCCCGTCGCCTTCCCCCGAGCCAGGGAGTCGAGGTGGCACCCTGGGGCGCCAGCGCTCGCATACCCTCACCACGCGCATCATGTCGGGCTCAGAAACCACGCCGAACTCCACCCTCAACAGGTCGGAGCACACGAGGTCGGCCTCGCGTCTGGACGACACCCTCGACCTGTCCTCCGAATTCCACACGTGAGTATGCCGACATTTTTAGCGGGTCTGAAATAGGCAAATCGGGCGGGTTCACCTCAGCTTCCAGGAAGAGTCGAAAGAATCCGCAAACAGGATACATGTCATCAGATCCTGATTTCTGCGAATTCCGGACAATCCGGATTTATTTAATCCTTTTACCGAATCGGCGAATAGCAGATCACCGTTTCATCAGTAATGGACCTTTCCATCTATTTTACTTGTTAAGATGTGAAACTATTAGTTCGGTATGGCAGTGCCTGGCAGCCATCCCTTGGCCAGAATTATCATTTGATTGAGTGAAGATTGAGTTAGAGTTTTACAAAGGTGCAAAGCGCATGCGCAAGACACCGCGGAGACCGAGTTGCATTACATTCCGTGTCATCAGTTAACGATAGATTCTAGGAATTTGACCATTTCCCGGGACTAATACAGAAGGTACGTACTTGAAACGGGAGACAACATTGAGTTTTCATTGTGTAGGAAACAAAGGCAGCCGACCTTTATTCATGAGTGAGCACGTTTGCGGTCGATGTATGGAGGATAAGTGACCCGCCGCCCGCTGCTGGAGGTCCCTGCTCTTACGACACGCGGACATGGTGGAGGCTGAGGAGGAGGGGGGGAGGGGTGCGTGGGAGGAGGGGGCGAAGTGGGCGGAAGTCGGTTATTGTGACCTCTTCTTGTCATCACTGGATATGATGATTCTTCAAGGCGGAATTGTACAAAGGGGCTTCCTCTTCTTTGTTCGACTCTGGGTTTTGTTATTGCCAATCATGGGATGAAAAGATCCGTAGGTTACAATTCCGCAAAGCCTCGTCGTCAGAAACAAGGCAAGTGTTTTATTTCCCCGAAGTTGCCAGGTCTTGCTCGTGTGGTTGTGAATATTGCATGGCAGCGTTTCGATGGGTGTTTTTTTTTCTTTGTGTGTGTGTGTGTGTGTGTGTGTGTGTGTGTGTGTGTGTGTGTGTGTGTGTGTGTGTATATGTATGTGTTTGTTTGTTTGTTTGTGTTTGTGTTCGTTTTCGTACGTGACAGGGAAGTAAGCAATGATAGGAAGGTGAACAAAAGAAGTGTGAGATATGCATAATCAGTTTGGGATGTTGGTGTCCGTAGAGTTTATCACGTACAGTTAAGAAGTCCGACGATATACTTGATTGCATCGTTCTCTTGGCCGTACTGCAGTGAGGCTTGAGGCCGCGCGAGGGGGCGGGGTGATGCAGTATGGGGGGATCAACACACCCTCACACGCGTAAACACACACACACACACACACACACACACACACACACACACACACACACACACACACACACACACACACACACACACACACACACACACACACACACACACACACACACACACACACACACACACACACACACACACACACACACACACACACACACACACACACACACACAC